GATGAGGAGCCCTGGATGAGGTAAGATTCACATTCTGTACACACATTCAGTACACACGGCACTGCAGAGACAGTGAGGTTCAGCACACTGCTCAGATTCTGTGCAATTTACAAACTATGTATTGTTTGTTTTTAGAATTCTCCTTTAATGTGTTCATACAACTGAATGAGGTTCAGTGAAAGTGTACAAAAGAGAACTACAGATTTGGGGAATAATCTCACAGAAATTATGTGTTTTGCCAAAGAGGGTAGAATGAGAATCACCTAACTAAATCTCCTATCTACATCAGGAGACAGAGAAAACATGCCACAAACCTCCCAGGATGCACTGTAGATGCTCCTGAAAGGGAACAGAAAAATCAACTGAAAAAGTCAGCTGAACACAGATGGCTAAAGCCTATAATGGTAATTTGAGCTACTCAGCATACTGAAGTCTGAGCATCTTCATTTGAAGCCAGCCTGGGTGAGGAAGGTTTGAGACTCTTATCTCCAATTAACTACCAAGTAAGCCAAATGCCAGGTGCCAGTGGTGAGTCATGCCTGTAACCCTAGCTGATCAAGGGGCTGAGATTTAAAATCCTGGAAGAAGCCAGCCTGGGCAGGAAAGACCATCAGACTCTTCTCCCCAATTAGTTTCATAAAAAGCTGGAAATGGTGTTGTTACACAAGTGGTCAAGTCCTGATTATAGCAAATTATCTCAGTAACATCCCCCAGCTCCAGAGATTAAGACACACGCCTGCCAAATAAAAAATCAAACAATAACCAAAAACAAAAACAGAGTCTAGCTGTGGCTCAAGGGGTAGACCACTTGCCTCAAGCAATAAAGGTCAAATCCAGACCCTGAGTTCAAGCACCAAGACACCCATACATAACATACACAGTCCAGAAATCCACTGAAGATTTTTGAAAGATGAGCAAATTTGTCTATAGAACCCTTCCCAATGAAACAATGCAATGCCTGAATGAAATGTTACATTGTTGTGTTACTAGGGCAAATTATTTTTGTGTGATGCTAAGATTCCTTCCTAAGGAATATCTACACATGCCCAGAATTCACAGAGTTCCTTTCTGTGCTAGTTATCTTTATTACTTTTTCCCATAAGGACACCCAACATCTAAAGACTAAGGACGCACTTATTTGACTAAAGAAAATAGTTTGCTTTGTCACTTCCCTTGTTTGTTTGTTGACACACTAGCTTTTGGGGCACGGATTTTCATAAATTTAACTCTAGGGAAACAGAACGTCTCTGATATAAAACAAGACAAGCTAGAAAGGATTTAGATGCTGTGCATTAAGGGAGCTGCCCTTCTCACTTGTAGAAATGGAAAACTCTTCTTTCTGAAACCTCTTTGGATTTCAGAACAAGGCTTCATCAAACTGTGTGAAATAAATCCACCAAAAGTCAGAAGTATACTAAGTTGTAATTTCTATGAACAAATGTTAGTAGGTATTACGCCTTTGCATATTTTTCAATAGCTCAGATCTACTTTGATTCTGTACTTTTATTCAGTGAAGGTCAGGCTTTCCTTGTTGACCAAGAGTGTGTCTGTGTTGAGCCCAGTCCCTGGTGAGAGGTTGGATATGGAGGAGAGGTAACTCTCATCTGGACCTGAACTGTGCCTGGTCTAAATATCCCCTTCCTTCCTGATTGGCTCTCTTTCAAAATTTCTTTGAGATAACTGTAGATAAGTTTGTTATTGTAAAATATGATACCTATAGTACATACATTTTTCTATCTCCCTTTAGTACAGCCCTAAAGTGTGCTGCACTGCATCATAACCCAGTATATTTGTTTAACTGCAATGCTACAAAAATGTGAGAGGCTGGGCATATAATAAAGAATTTTAGTAATCGAGACTGGTTTTCCTGAAACATGGGTCCAGTTCAGGGCCACCTATTCTTGGTCATAGCTCAAGGACCAAGAGCACCCTTGAGAGAGCCTATGCTGAGCTAAGAAGCTGACAGACTGCATAGAGCAGGGGTTGTCATTAGTACAATCCTCTCAGGAGAACTAACCACACCTGTAGAACTTTAATTCTTTAGTGAGCAGCACCCTAGTTATTTCATGATCTCTTCCAGGGGTCCCTCTTCCTTAAGACCCCCACATCTCAAAACACTGCTTTCTGGAACCAAGCTTTCCACAAGGAGTCCTGGGGATAAGTTCCAAGATTGTATCACTTGGTATTATGTGATAATGCAATTTTTCTTGCTCTCTTTCTCTCTCTCTTTGTACTTTTGCCAGTCATTTGACTTGAACACAGTGCCAGGGCACTTTCCCTAAGCTTAATTTGCTCAAGGCTAGCACTCTAACCACTTGAGCCACAGCGGCACTTCTAGCTTTTTGATGTTGTTGTTGTTCTTTATTGAAGATCACAATTTCTCACACTTCCTTGGCCAGTTGTGCTTTAAGCCATCCTACCTCAGTTTCCTGAGTATCTGAGATTACAGGATAGAACCTGCCACCAACCTATTTCTCTTTTGAATTAGCTTTTAAAACTAATTGGCAATAGTTTTATTTTGGCTTTCTATACATTTCTATAATACATTCATTAAAAATACATTCCTGGGCATTTCTAACACATTTATAAGATTATTTCTTTGTTGCTTTGTATGTCCCTCCCCTGCAGTATAACCCCTGCTTTCACTGTATTTGATGTCGGTATAATTTGTGGAGGGGAAGGGGAAAAACAAATCCTTTAAATAGCGATACTGGTGGACCCATTGCAACAATGAGATGTGCAAGTCGTTAGGTCGAAAAATGAACTTTACAACTTTGGTACAGGGGGTTGGGGGGGAGTAGAGGGGAGGATTGTGTAAGGGGGCTGGGGGAGGATGGGAAGGGGAAACAAAGGAGGAGGCTACAATGCTTGATAAGAAATGTACTCATTATCTTGCCTATGTAATTGTAACCCCTCTGTACAGTATTTTCACAATAAAAAACAAAATAAAACAAAAAAATCCAGTTATGATTAAGTTTACTCCAGCTTACGTTATAGGGGATAGATGGTGGTTTCCCACAAAATGTAAAGTTAGTGACATCACATTTCCTGAACCGACCATTGAACCATTGCCTTATACAGGAGTTTATAAAAATGTAAATAGATGGATTAATGTAATAGGAAAAAGGTATTTTGGAATCCATTAGATTTTATCCAAAGATTAGGTAGATCTAGATCATTATGGTGTTTATTATTTAAACAACAATGAGATAGTTTAAAACAACAATGAGAAATTTATGTGAACAAATGTTGGGATTAAAATAATAGGAAACGGAAAATGCCAGACTTAACCTGAAAGTGGTTTTTAGGATGGTTTCAAAGGGACTTGAAAATACATGAAAAAAATAAAAAGAGTATAATGTAAGTACAGCCCTCTCTTAGATTTGTTAATTATTAAACATAAAAAGACTGAATAGATGACTCATTCTATTAAACTATATGCTAGACTTGTTTTGCACCACTTAGCTTAAACAGTTGGTGGGATAGTCATCAATTTTCATGTAATCCATCAATGCTTTGCTTTTCTTAAAAATTGATAACGTGCTTAAATAAACAAAAAATCTGTGTCACAATTGCACACTGTATAAAAATATTAATTATCCTCAATAAAAATACACTCAGATGCAACTCTTTTGAGTCTGTGTCTGTTTGTCACTTTGCCGACTCCTAGCTCACCTATCCCTAGATCTCTGTCCCAACTGTCCCCGTGCTCTGGCTGAGCTGGTCCGTCACAGACAATAACTACTTGAAAAGAATAAGCCGTTAAAAATGCTTTCTCCATTTGGAAAAAATTATATTAAGTGAAGTAAGCCAGGCCCCCAAAACATAGTTCCCATGGTTTCCCTTATTTGCAATAACTAGTGTTTGTCTGAGACAAGCAGAAAAGGTCAGATAAGAGGATGCTAAGGGAAATGAACCCCAAGATAAGGACTCAAATGTTTTTTTTTTCTTTCTTGCTATTGTTCCTAACATATTTATAAGGTGATTGTTTTGTTGCTTTGTATGTCCCTCCCCCATGGTATTACCCCTGTTTTCACTGTATTTTATGTTGGTATAATTTGGGGAGGGGAAAGGAAAAAACAAATTGTTTAAATAGGGATACAGGTGGACCCATTGCAACAATGAGATGTACAAAATTCTATGTTGAAAAATGCACTTCACAACTTTGGTGTGGGGAGGAGTGTAGTCGTGGAGATGTGTGGGCAGGCATGGTAGGGGAAAAACAAAGAAGGAGGCAACAATGCTTGATAAGAAATGTATTTATTATCTTGCTCATGTAATTGTACCCCTCTGTATGGTATTTTCACAATAAAAAACTTATTAAATAAAAAAAAAATGCTTTCTCCATCCCATTTCTGCTGTGGCATCTATACCTGTTAACATTAAGGGATAAGATGGTGGGGGCAAGGAATCTTTTAGGGGAAAATATCTGCCCTTATTCCACAGAGAGCTTATAGTCTGCTATTATCTCCTTCAGGCTTTCTAGTGAACACAATTTTGGGAAAGCTGGTCTGAAGAATGGAGAACTCAAGACTGTTGACGAGAAATATAGCATATGTGGTAGTGATGCTGCTAGAGTATATATTTCCAGGACTTTTCACTTACAGGAATAACCCTGCAAAATAACAAACACCATCCTGTCTAATGACTTTAGAGTTTGTCTTGTATGCCCCTCTGCAGCCTTTACCTACATTGACTCCTGCCTTGGCTATGGGACTCTTGATCACAGTGGCATGAACAGAACAGAAGCTTAAATAACCATTGCCCACTTTGATTCTAGGAAAGTGTTTGTCTTCAACATAAAGGCTCAGCTCCTTGTAAAACATGTTGAAACCAACCAGAAATGGAGCAAAGTATAAATGCCTGTGTCAGCTCTGTTCTAGGGGCTACAGATACAGCTCCACGTATGTCATTGCTTCAACCTGAACAGCCACCCACCTGCCCTGCTAAGCTACCACCCACAACAGATGACCCAAGAAATGGCTGGCCAACACACTGAATTATGTTTTTATTTTATTATATCAACAATTAACGAAAGACAAAATAATATAAGTGAAAAACTTAGTATACTATGGGGACTGGGAAGATCTTTAGATTTGGAAAGATGGGAAGAAGAATTGGGAAGCCAAAAAATAGGTGAGTTTGTCTTCAGTGGTGCTCACACAATCATAGCTTCGTTGTCAGTCTAAAAGAAACATGAACAAAACAAAAAATCTTGGTATAAATGGCCTCCAATTCTTATCTCAAATCCTGACAAATTGAACTATTCTAAAGACTTTCTCAAAGCAATGAGATAAACACCACAAAAATATGAAAGGGTAAAAATAGAAATATAAGGTTTGAGGTACTTAATCCAGGCTCAATTTTTGAAAGGAATCATGGTGAAGAAGATGTAATTACCTCCCTTTAATGATTCGGACCTGGAGTTTCTAAGAAAACTCTACTATAATTATTCAATTGTTAAAAATTATTTTTCACAAATTATCTGACAGGAATCCTCAGATTCTGACATGATCCTGCTGGAATTGGAGATCTGAAAGAAACTAATTGTGAGCTTGCACTATAGCCTTTTGAAAACAGACACCTCTTGCCATGGCTTTGGTCTCCTGACAGGGTAATGAGCTGAGATCAGCCTTGGGAAGAGAAAGAGGTGGGGCCTTGGCCTGCACCATTCCCCTCAGGACAGAATCTTCTGCATTAGCCATGGCCTAAAGCATCTCCCAAGCCTGGGCAGCCTCCCTGCTGCTCTCCCCAAGGGCAGTTCAACTGTTCATTTAAATTGTTCCTGCTTCCTGAGGCCACCTCACATTTCCACAATACCTGAGCTCTCCTAAGAGACAGGAGTGAAGTCTTTGGCAAAGATTGTGGGAGTGTTTTCAATCAAAAACTGCACCAGGGCAACCTGTAACACAAAAGGAGACACAGACCACTCTTGTCATTTGGCAGTCATGAATCCTCCAATGTGTGAGACTGGGAGCAAACACAGCAAGGAGGAATGTGTAGAGAAACTCAGAATTTAAATTGAAAATGATGTAGGAACCAGTTTTGTCAAAGGCAAAACTAACAACCTATGGAAGGTGTTTATAGACCAGAACTTGAAACACAATGAATGGACTAGAGGCACAGTGAGTCACTTTGCTTAACTGCCAACTTCTTTTTAATATCCATAATTAAGTCTTCCAATGAGCATCATTTTTCTTTCTCTAAATAGTATGTTTGACTTACTATTTTAGATATACTACTATTCAATAGAAAAGAAAATCATTGACTAGAGAGAACTAATGAAATTCACTTCCAAAGTGCACTGCCTTAAACTCAGGACAGCTGGTGTGTGGAGCTCTGGGGAAGAAAGAGCCCCTGCACCCAACCAGGCCTCATTCTCCCTGTGTTACTGTGGAGATGATTTAGAATTTTTCACTGGTTTCTTATTTTTCAAGTGAATGAGGAATATGCTATAGTTTATATGTTCAACATCCCTCAAAGAAACCCTGGAGAAATCATTTTCTTCACGTGGCTGCATTTGGGAGGAAAAGTTGAAGACGTTTCACTTAGTGGGAGGTAATCATAAGGAGCTGAGCTCAGAGAATACTGAAGGATTCTAGTCTATTCCTCTCATCTCTCTGCCTTACACTATGTACTATATATCAGTACAAGTTATTAATTGACAGTCTTTACTAAGAGAATGTTAATAACTTATCAACAGGTACCAAGCTTTCTCTGAATGAAAACAAATGGCACAGGAATCCATACGTAGTCCAGAGTCTCCAGTGTTCATGCTTTAAGTTCCTTCTTAAGGTGAAGTGTCTGGACATGGGCCGAGCACTGGGCAGGATCTCCATCTCCACTGTACCAAGGAAAACACTAGCTTCAAAACCATCCCAAGATCACAGATCCACAATGGCAAGAAGAGAACTGAATTTTAGTGGCTTAACTCCAAAGCTGCAGTTCATTGTCACCATTGTCATTCTCCTTTCTTCCCTAGGGTTTGGTCAGCCTAGACTCCTCTATACTGAAGGGAAAGAGAAAGGACCACACTGCTGCTTTCTCCTTGCTGCACATGTTTGTAAACCTCACCAGAAATAGGGTGAACTGCCGTTTTCTCACAAGGCCTGCAGTCCATTCTGTCCTTAAAGCCTGGGATGTCAGGCATGTCTGGCCTTTCCAGATCCAACCAGCCACTTCCTTCTCAGGATGGAGCTAGGAGAGGCCATTACCTTTCTCATGAGTTGAGTATCAAATCCTGCCCTGGCATCAGGAGGCGGGGCCATCAAGCTGGAAGCTGTGCACACAGCTAGGTTGTAGGAGGTCATCAGGTTTATGGAGGAAGTCTGGTGGATTTGGCTTAACATTCCAAAGAGATGTTTCAGCAGCAGTTGGTTGACTCTGGGCAGCATTTCTAAAAGACTGAACTCAGAAAAACATGCTTTCATGCAACTAATTTCTTGTGGGAGAATCTAAATACAAAAAGTACCTTTTCTGTAAATTGCACAGAACTCAGTGAGAGTATAGAAAGGAAGCATATACTTTAAACTAGTGCATAAAATACTTCCTTGAGATGACCACACTCCACATTGACTTGGAATGGATGTATAAAGATCAATTTAATAATAATGTCTTTTAAAATAAATCCTGTATTGGTTCACATTACACAAAACCATAATCTTCCTGAAAAACAGCTAAATTATTTCTGAAAGGGCAATTATGAAGTCAGGTTTTGTGATCACATCCCAAACTACATACTATAATGAAAGATTCATTCCAAGAAAGAATGCATAGAAAAACTTACCATTTAACTAGATATAGACATGATGTTTATGTAAGTATTTGACCAACGTGAGATAATGCCCTAGCTACATGTATCAATCAATATAATGTGCTTCCATCAGTGTCGACTTTCATTATATATACATGGGAATGATGCCTTGGACACAATAGCATAGGAAAACCATCATTCACACACTGAGTATAATTGCCTGCCTCTGTGAAATCCTGCATGCATCTGACCAAACGAAATGTTTTCTAACACTCACAATTATTTCAGTGGCTCCAACTCTCATATCCATGAAGCTACTTTTTCCTAAGAGTGTAAAATTTGGATTTATTAATCAGAACAGGTTAATTTCCTGCATCCTACTTCTGGGCCAGAATGATTTTCTCCTCTTCACGGTCTTCATTCATGATCCCAAGCCATCTCTCATACATGCCAGTGCAAAATACACTGCCTTGTACATTGCGAAGAAAATCCTTCCAGAGACAAAAGCAGGATATTCTGATGGAGCAAACTATGTCATACAATCATAAGATATACATGGAAGAAATGGATGGACCCACACATCCCATCTCCATGGATGATTCTGTGACCTACATTGCCCTTTCTACACCACACCTAAGACAGATGCCAGGAGTTTCCCCACCTGAACTGAAAGCACAAAGCAGAGTAGAGCTGAGGCAGGAGGAATTAGGAATCTGCCAAACGCAATTTAGAAACACAGTATTTGGACACATGGGTGCACTGTCTTTGCTTGAAATAGAAACAATAGAATTCCTTCTTGTCTCAAGGAACAGACTCTGTTTCATAACAGGCTGCACTCTTCCTGAGAGGAATTCTCCCTCAAAATTAAAAGGTGGGCCCATATACAACAAGAGCAGAATGTAAAATAAGAGCCAGGAACTTAAATGCACTAAGAGAACAGTCCCTGCTTGAAGAAACTTCACAATCACCTGTGTTCAGGGACTGAGAGTGAAGATCCATCTCCCCATCTATCTGAAAACCCCTATTTGACAGGAACAATCTACTTTAAAGGACAAAACTGGCTATGTAGTTCTAAATCCTATTGCTGAGCAGAAGTAGGCCCACACATTTCACCTGTTCCTTTGCAGTAAATTGAATAAGTAATGTTTTTCTGAACAAATACTCTTGTACATATCATACAGGAAGGCTTAATTTTACAGTTTGTTATTACTGAATCTTGGGTTAAAATTCCCCAAGACTCTGGAATGATAGAATTACATCACCTTATACCTATGAGTATCAATTGGTTAGCTTTCCATTTACATCCATAAAGAGTAGCTATATTGTGTGTCTTTCAGCCTGGTAGGTTAGAGCATCTGTCCGGCCTCACTAACATGAATCAATCCGAATTGGATGGTGCCAACTTTGGACATATGAATCTCAGAGTTAGTGGCCTGCATATGTAAGCTTGTCACTCAAGGTAGTTTTGAACAACTGATCACTAATTCTTTATACCTTACCTAGGACCTATTATAAAATGTATAGACACAAGAAGACACAAAGGGGGAAAATGCCCAGGATCTTTGGTGTAGTGTAAACATTCTCTAAATGGCTCAGTGGTACCTTCATCATGGTCCTGAGCTTATATACATCACCAGGGTGGGTTAGCAGAACTCTGTATGCATCTGTCATGTTATCCCCAAGTGCAAGACCAGAGAAGCTGAGATGCACTGCTCTACCTGTTACTAGTATGGGATGTGAGCTTCCAGTGGGCAGTACCAACATCGTTACTTCCTTGCATGGTAATACATGCCTATTGTCCTAGCCCATCACTGGCCACAAATAATTAGCACGGCTAATGTCTATACCAACAATGAAAAGACATAAAGGAAACCTAGAGTAAGTGAGAAAATAAACTATTTTTATGAAGCCATTCTTAACCATTGTCACATGTTTTCCTACAGTGGTGTTCACAAAGACCAAAACTATATATTTGTTCTCTGTCAAATACTTCCTTCTACAAATATAAAGATGTTTGTAATCTACCTGTATCATTTCAAACCCAATGTATGTTTTGTAAAACTCAGGTGAATTTTCAGGAGACACAGCTGTTTGGGCTGCTTTATTCATGTTAATGATCAAATTTATGGGTAATGTGTAAGAAATGACTTTTTAATGTACTTACAATGTGATGAAAGGCCCAGAGGTGGGATATTGAGAGGAGAGGAGTGCCTGTGTATCCACACCACCTTTCCTGTAAAGGTGTTGGGGACAGGAAGGAATGCTGGCATGAGCCGAGCTATGCTGGCCTGCAAATCACTAGAGGATTCATTATGGGCCTTCAGCTTTGGTTATGAAGGTAATCTTTGATCATTTCTGTCAAAACATTCACAAATTTGCTTTGATTTTGTGCCTTTGTTCAACTTTCCTTGAAGAAGGCAGTGCAGGGTGCTTGTTAAGCAAATATTTCCCAGAACTTGTTTGGGCTCATAGTTGTATTGTCATGGTGATTTACAGCCATACAGTAAATCAGATCACTCATTAATCACATTGGGCATGGGCGTTCAGGTGGGAAGATGAGAGGAGATGAGGTGAGAAGACAAAGTAAACAGACAGAACACACAGACATGTGTCTTTTCGTTTCCCACATGCTTGATGTGTGAGGCCCCTCGTGGTTCTTGGGTGATTGTGGTGCTGGTGATGCAGTGCTGTGGCCTCAGAGTGAAGCTGCCTCCCTGGGTGATGCTGGCTGTGTCCTACCTTTAACACTGAGGCCACCACAGACACGGATTCCTGGTGCAGGTCCACTCGGGCTCCAGACATGAGTTTTTCTTTGAGGGCTCTGAAGGCTTTGACACTGCTTGACTTTCTGAAGATGCCCTCGGTGAGCCGCCCCTCCTGACTGAGGAAGGAAATCATCTCCTGTGTGGAGGAGAGGAAAGAAAGCCTGGGTCCTCCATGTCCACCGGCACAGAGCACCACCTCACACTTCTCTAAGTAAGATGTCTGAGTGTGCAAGGCTCCAGTGCTCAAGCTAGGGGACCTCATTAGCAATTGTATTTAGTTGTTGGAAATATTTTTTTTCAGTTGTTTTAACATGTGTTGGTTTCTATCTCCTGCTTTTATTTTTTTTTATTTATTTTTTTTTTGTGAACACACTCTACAGAGGGGTTACAATTACATGGGCAGGATAATGCGTACATTTCTTATCAAGCATTGCAGCCTCCTCCTTTGTTTACCCTTCACATCCCTTCACAGCCTGCCCCCCCCCACCCAATCCTCCCTTCCCCCCCCCCCCCCCCCCCCCCCGCACCGACGTTGTAAAGCTCGTTTTCTACATGACAACCTGTACTTATTGTTGCAACAGGTCCACCTGTATCCTGAAACGACTGGTTTTTCCCATCTCCTTGTTGTTGTTCTTTTCTTGTAGGGTCAGACTCAGAAACACTGAACAGTGAATGGATTTGTCCCTGCATTGAACTGAATCTTTCACCTTCTACTTTATGCTTCCAGGTTCTGCTGGTGCAGCCTCCTTCTTACACAGGTGTCCCCTCACAGCTTCCCAAGAATTCCACATTTCTTTTTTCAATTCCCCCATTTATACCTTCTGCAGTTGCTAGATTCTTCAGATCACATTCATACCTATTCCACTATGAAGTTTTCCCTGATTGTATTCATCTCTAGGCCCTTGATTTCTTTGGTTCTATCTTGGTGTGCCGATTTCAGAGTGGAGGACAGTGTTGGCACTTTAATGTGAATTTGGATAGTGGGCAGAATATGGGAGGGCCTTTCCTTTCCCTTCCTAAACCCTTTCTCTCCCTCACTCCATTATTCCCTCTTTTGGTCCTTCCCTCCATCCTTTCCTTCCTCTTCTCTTCCTCTTTCCTTCCTTCCTTCACAAATGTTGGATAGTGAAATTCAATATCCTACATTCTAGGCTGCCTTTCACCTGAGCTAAACATCTAGACCTTCTTTTTGTTAGGTATTTTGGAATAGTAATCTAGTGGACTTTTCTGCCTGGGCTGGCCTAAAATGTTAGTCCTCCAGATTCCAGTGTCTGAAGGACCTGGGATTACAATAATACACTTCTTCTATGGTAATATGTCCATTTTTAGATATTCCATTATTTTTCCAAATGTGAGATAAGAACAATGGTGATCCTATCTGCCTCCTAAACTTTCTTTGTACAAAATGAGACCAGGGTTTTCTTTGTGACATCCAAGGGAATATTCCCAACATGTAGTAGTGATTGTGGAGATGCTGGACATTGGTTCATTCAATCTTCCCACACTCAATATAGTAAATTAGGTTTTTTATATTCATGTGTGCATGTCCTTAAGTTTTGAACTAATGGCTTGAGTGCTGTCAGTGAACTTTGATGCTCAAGGCTAGTGCCCTAAAACATGAACAAAAGTTCCACATCTGGCTATTCAGTGGTTCATTAAAGACACGAGTCTCATGAACATTACAGACTGCTAGCTATGGAACACAAATCTCAGATGTCAGACACAATCTCAGACATTTGAGTAGCTAGGATTACAAGTGTGAGCCACTGTTGCCTGGTTAATATACCACGTAGAAATAGTGAAAACAATATCAGCGGTTTTCAAATGATACTCTATTATCAGCACTTCTAGTTTGGTCTCTACCAGAGGTTGAAGCTTCTTTTTCAAAAAAATGAAAGCAAAGTAAGATCTTTCTTTCTTTCTTTCTTTCTTTCTTTCTTTCTTTCTTTCTTTCTTTCTTTCTTTCTTTCTTTCTTTCTTTCTTTTCGTTGTTCATGGAGCCTGAATTCTGGGTCTGGGCACTGTCCCTCAGCTCTTCAGCTTAAGGGTACCACTTGATCCACAGTGCCACTTCTGCCTTTTTCTGCTTATGTGGTGCTGAGGAATCAAACCCAGGCCCTCATGCATGCAAGGCAAGCATTCTACCACTGACCCACCTTCCAAGCCCTCCTTTTTTACATAACCTAAGAGTCCTCATTTTAGCCAGTTTGAAATACACAGTGAATTGGCATTCACTACAAACACAATACTGTGTGACCAGCTTCCTCAGAACTTTTCTGTGTTCCCCCATAGAAAGGCCAGATCTTTTAAACACTATCTGTCCATCCTCCTCCCTGAAAACCAACAACCCCCAGTGGACTTTCTGATACTAGGAAACATCAAATAGACATTCTGAAGAATGTCTGTTTATGCTACTGGAGACATTTGCAAGCTGGAAGAGTAAGCTGGGAGGGAGCATGAAGGAGGGAGACTCAGAGCTTCACATGCACAGTGCCTGGTATTGCAGGTCTGCAGCAGGGAATGTGGCTCCTGGTGCACCAGTCCCCAATGAAGAGAATATTACCTGTTGGGCTTGACTTAGGGAATTGGACATTGTGACATGTTTATGCCTTGAAGCAATAGTAACAAAGCCCCTCCAACCAGACTCAGGGTTGTCTGATGCTTTGCTGAATTGGACCTGGGGCTCCATGAGAACACTCCTCTCCCTCCCCTCCACACTCAGGAGGTTCCTCTCCTCAGGAGGGCAGCAGACACCAAACTGGGACCTACCAGAATAGGGGAGGGTAGTTTGCCATCCTTACAAGCAGCCTCCAGGGAAGTCCCAAAGAGCAGTCTTGTCTTTACACGTGAGGATTTCAGGGGTTTGTTCTCCTTGGCTGTGCTGGACCGCCACCCAAAAAACCATATGATGAAAGATCTTCCCCTTCCTTCTTTCTTCTGCTCTGACTCTTAAAAAGCAACAGTTTAATTACTTACAAAGTGAACTTCTGTTTCAAATTACCCACATTCTGTAATAGCTTAATTCCTTTTATTATTGATAGAGTCTTTGCCCAAATCAGTATACTGATGTTTATACCTAGGGTCCTGAACACATTCAATTTATCTTTGTGATTATTGTGACCAGCTTCTTTGTACCATGGAGTGCTTAACACCTACAAAGTTCCTGAGTTGAAGTAGGTTTGTCAGGTGTATCTTTCCCTTCAGAAAGAGAAAACCAAGTAGAGTGTTACAGCCATTCACTTTGAGGGAAATTCTCCTCCTATTTGACTTTCTGAATGTGTCTCTCTGATCACTTCCTGCACTAGATATCTCCCCTTATCACACAGACTGCCTGCCAGGTGAAAATCATAGGGTTTTCTTGTTTTGTTTGTTGGTTATTTTTTAATTTAATTGTAAAGATTTGTTCAGAGAGGTTACAATTACATGAGTAAAATAATGAATACATTTCTTGTCTCCTTTGTTGCTCTCCCTCTATCCATTCTGTCCCCCACCTCCTTCACTCCTCCCTTCCCAAAGTTGTATAGTTCATTTCCAACTTACTATCTTGTGAGTATCGTTGTTGCAATGGGTCGTCCTGTGTCCTTGTGTCAGGGTTTTGTTATTGCCTTCCCCCCCCCCCAATTAGATAAATGTATATACCAAGTGCAGGGTAACAAAATCAAGTACAGGGGATATGCCATGGTGGGGAGGGGGAGTGTTGAACATACAAAGGAAACAAAAAAATCACATAATACAGTAAAAACAACAACAAAGAAAGGCCTCTTGGTGTCTATATCTTGGGGTTAATTTTCCTAAGCATCATCTTATTTGGTCATATGTACAGACATTTTGAGTTTTTCTACTCATCTGATCAAATTATCTTAGCCTATACAAACTATTGCAAATGAGAGAAACCAGGGTTGTGTTACATTGTCTCTGCTCCCTTCTCCCAGCAAAGATACCCAAAACAACATCCAGTTTGTACTGTAAGAATGTAAATATTTTCCTTATGGGTGACTCTAATCACATTTTAGTCTTCACTAAGGAAAAAACTCTAATCCAAGATTTCTGTGTACATTCAAAATTCTCCAGAAACTTTGGAGGATGTTGACATCTTTTCTTTGCTTTTTGTCCTCCCACATTCTAGGTATGATATCAGGAGCCTGGTCCCTCTGTCTGAGGGAGAATGCCAGGCTAGCATTCTACCTCTAAGCCACAGTTCTATTCCAGCTTTGTCATGGACATTTGGAGATAAGCCTCTCAGGACTTTCCTTTGTACACTGACTTTACTCCGAGAAACTCAGATCGCAGCCTCCTCAGTAGCTGGAATTACAGCTTGAGCCATAGGTATCCTGCTTCCATTTACTTAAATGTGTTCTTTATGCATTTAAGAGACCACAGAAGTCCTCAATTGTACAGAAGATAGAGAACTATGTAACCATATAGAAGTGAGAGGATTCACTGCTGGGTTGCTGGCTCTGGGCCGTCTGCCTTGGCTTCAGAATGAACCGGCCTCCTGTGGCTAGATAGCACTGCTGCAGGATAGGATTCTGGGGAGTGTGAGTCTCATGTGGCCTTGGTCCTCCTGGCTGGAATGCAGTCTCTCCAAACTGACTCATTTTAAACACATAGGGATTTTCATGCCCTATGGTGAGAAAGTGCAGCAGGGAATTTCATTGTAATGGGAGCCCAGACTTTGACAATGAATTTCCAATCTGCTTTCTACTTCACGAAAACATACTTTTTTTAATCAAGAAAGCTCTATTTTACTTGTAGTTCACATTTATTATCTTTAAGTAGTTGTACAAAGGAGCTATGATTCAACAAATCAGTTTAGGAATACAATGCATCTTGACCAATATCGCCCCAAAATGTTATATTTTAAGTGAAAAAAAGTAAGCCCAAAACTACTTAATTCTCTCCTTACACCAAAATTTACCATATGAAGAGATGATCTCAGCTACTGTATATAGATCAAGTGTCAGGTCAGTATTTATTGAAAAATGTACAATTTAATTGTATAGGATATATTTACTTTTAGTAATATTAAGCTTAACACTTAAAGAATCAGTGTTTGAGATTTTGAAGTCCAATTTGACCCCATTGCCTCCCACTTGACATTTTCTTTGACATTTACCAATGAAGACAAAGGGAGCTTCTTCATGTTCAGAATGGAGCCACAACTGGTAGTCACTCTCGGAGCCCTGGGGGAGAGAAGGACTGAGTGTCACACAAAGCCTCTCACAGTGGACCCAAGAAGGACACAGCACCTTACACAGCCGTGTTTCCACCCAGGGCAGCATGTGCTGTTTGTACACATGCCATTCCATTAACGGGAATGAGTCAGTATAGCTTATCTTACTCCCAGCTCTTAGGAGATTCCTTAGATGGTGGGCATGTGTCTCCTGATGGAGCAGGGAGCCTGGACCCACAGGGTACACATTCACTCACTTATACTAGATATTGCAAATAAGGGAAACTGTGGGACCTATGTTTCTTCGGGCCTGGCTTACTTCACTTAACATAATTTTTTCCAAGTCTTTCCATTTCCTAACAAATGGGACAATGTCATTCTTTCTGATGGAGGCATAGAATTCCATTGTGTATATATACCACATTTTCTTGATCCATTCATCTACTGAGGGGCATCTGGGTTGGTTCCATATCTTAGCTATGGTAAATAATGCTGCAATAAACATAGTCATACTGGTAGCTTTAGTATGGTCTTGTTTGTGATCATTCACAGAAACAGTCAGGTAAGTTGATGTTAGGTGAACTGAACCCCAAGATAAGGACTCAAATGGTTTTTCTTTCTTGCTATTGTTTGTAACATATTTATAAGATATTTCTTTGTTGCTTTGTATGTCCCTCCCCATGGTATAACCCCTGTTTTCACTATATTTAATGCTGGTATAATTTGTGGAGGGGAAAGGAAAAAAACAAATTGTTTAAATAGGGATACAGGTGGACCCATTGCAACAATATGATATACAAGATGTTATGTCGAAAAACATACTTTACAACTTTGGCACGGGGTGGAGGGGGTGGGGAGATGGGAAGGAATGGGAAGGAGAAACAAAGGAGGAGGCAACAACGCTTAATAAGAAATGTACTCATTATCTTGCTCATGTAATTGTAACCCCTCTGTATGGTATTTTCACACACACAAAAAAAATCCCTCACTTTCTGGGGGATCACGGAATGAGAAGTACATTCCTAGTACTGAGAAATATACTAAAATGCAAGACACCTGTGTGGATTCAACATTCTCTACAATCTTTAAAGGATATTGAGGTTAGTCTTCTCTTCTCCCTCTACACTAAACTTATTGATGAGACTCTGAGGTACAACCAAGATTATGCCTAAGCAAAGTCAGACTTAGCAGGTAGAGTTAGCTCAGCAAGCTTCAGGCCTTCAGGAAAGGGCAGACTGAAGCCAGCTGCTTCCTTTCTTTCTGTGAGCTCTATTGCAGAGATGTGATATAGAGAATGTGACCAAGGACATAGGACAAAAGCAGAAAACAATTCTGACAATTGCCTGACCATGCTGGAAATCACAGTTGGAACAAACAAAACTCATGAAGAAGGTTTTGAATTATGTAATATACCATGGAGGACCTATCCAGAAATCAAGTTCACATTGAGTATTGGGTGATAAGTAGCAGAATTGCTTTTCATTCTTGATTGCAAATCATCACACTGGGTTATGATTATTCACGGTTTGGACACTCTTATTCTCCCTCTGTCTATTTCTCTGTCTCTCTGTCTCTCTGTCTCTCTCTCTCTCTGTCTCTTTCACACACACACATACACACATACACACACATACACATACACACACAAACACAAAGACATAATCGAGTCAAATTTCATTGTTATTACAAAGATAAATGAACTGACTGTTTTCAAAGGCACATTAGAAACATTTTGGTAGAATCCCTTCAAACAGGCATATCTTTGAAACCAAATCAACACCATTCTGTATTTAAGAGAAAGTGACTATACGTTTTAAACAACTGATGAAGAATCACGTGTACAGTAAAAATCAGTGATCGTATTGCATCTCTGCCTTTCAACCACTGGGTCTCTTCCAAGAAGTGTTGTTTCTAATAGGGAAAATTAATACTATACTTTATAAGTCAATATCAAAATGCCTTCTTTTCCTGGTACATGGAAATTCAACTTTCTTATAGAGGATTATAAAATCCTATCACAATAGAAATGATAGCGTTATGCCAAATTCTCCTGCTCTGAGTTTTTAATGGCCTGGAATATAACACTTATATTTAGACTTCTGTCTTAGAAATCATGTCACAAGGACTTTTTATCCTCAGAAGGAAATCTACATTAAAAGTCATGTTGTTAAGTACTTCTCTACTTCCTATTGTTCTGAATATTCAATAAAATCCTGACTACTCTGAACTTCGTTGTCTCTTTGAATTACAAACCATAACATTTTCTCTAGTACTCTATCAAATATATCTATCAACATTTATAGAGACTTTTAAACACAAAAGGAAAGAAACATTTCACATAAAACAAGATAAATGCCACCATCAAGAGCTCATGCCAGTAAATCTTAAATTCCTCAGGAGTTTGAAATCCAGAAGACTGTTCTTCAAAGTCAGCCCAGGCAGGAAAATCCAAGAGACCACATCTCTAATGAGTCATTCACTTCCTTGCCGGAAGGTAGATTACCAACTGATTGTACATAGCCAGTAAGCATGAGGCCCAGGGTTCACCCATCTACTAGCAACACAATCAATAAACAGGAATCAGGATGAAATTGAAGCACACACAGCTTCCATAACCCTGCATCACAGATGCAGATTTGCTCTGCCCCAAGCATTAGGGCAACAGATTCAATGACATCCTTACCATACACATCAATAGGACAGAGTTTTCGGGCATGTCTTCTGTCTGTCAGAAGATGTAAACAATTATTCTGTTTTGACTGAGTTTCCATGTGAGGATCGGCAAAAAGAAAATAAGAAAGAAGATCCAGAAAGAACTGACCAAGTTTCCATTGACAATCAGAGTGAGGATGGGCAAAAAGAAAACAAGAAAGAAGATCCAGAAAGAACTGACCAATAGAGAAGACTGATATAATTACTGAGTGCTAGTCCTGTGTCTTGAACTTAGAGTGGGCGATGTTCTTGAATTTTTGTGCTCAAGGCTAGATGTCTATTACTGGAGCCACAGCTCTACTTTTGGCTTTTAGGTGGTTAATTAGAGATGGGCTGTCTTCGAACCATGAACCTCAGATCTCTGCTTCCTGAGAAGCTAGGATTATAGGTATGAGCCACAGCTGCCTGTCCTGAACTGTTCTTACTCAGAGTCTTAACACCAGTTTCATCATAGATATACTTTTTATATACAACAGAAATATGTGATGCTACTGGCTCAAAATTATATCCCAACATCCTTGTGCATTGGATACCAGTTGGCAAGAGGTTAAGAATGAGATTGTAGGAACCCAAGCAAAGACTCATCTAATGTCCATCTGCTTTCAGGTTCTCAACACTGAAGCTGGGGTGAATGAAAAAAATAATATCAATGTATCATTATCTGCAGTTTGATGATAGTAGTACATCAGTATACATATGAGCATAAATGCATCTCTATTCATCTCCATCAGGAAATTAGTGACTTACTTTTATTCCTAGGATTGAGAGTGACTTGCCTATAACATCCTTCACTGTATCAGAGTTTCTTGATATTACTGTTATTGGCTATAAAAGACATGAGGAAAAAAGGTATATATTAAGAATCCAAACAGTATCATTATATAGTTATTGGTAAATTAGTTTCCTTGTCCCTCAGGTAAAATTCATTTTCTGATATTTAAAGGCAACATCTGTGTAGAACACAAAACCTTGAGAAGAACTGTTTCTTCATTTCTTTATATAATATGAAGCCAGGAGAAAGCATTTCAGACACATGGAAACAAACTGCACATAGGCCAAAGCTGAATGACAGCTGAGGAAACACCAGAGAATATGGGGAACAAAAGGTACTGGAAAACCATTAAAATACTGAGAGGGGAAAAAAATATAAGGTCTAAAATTCAGTGAAAATGTCTTTCAAGAGGCAAGGTCAAATAAGGACCTTTTCAGATAACCCATGGTATAGAGCTGCCTCATGGCCAAAAGTGTGGAAATATGATCCTCACAGGCTGAATATAAATCGATGGACAGATACTCAGCTCTTTAGGAGAAATGGCATGCACCTGTGTCAACGTCTAGTGCGTTGGGGTCCCTGGGTAAGAGTCACAAAATCACCAGGACACAGGGGATGCAGCAGCTTGCAAACAGCAATTGCTACTGCATGCTGTGCTTTATGGTTAGTGGGTATTTAAAGACAAGCAAGCATAATCTTTGCCAAGATTTGGTCAGAAAACATTCACAAAAAATTTCCACAGATACATTTTTACTTAACCTATGAGACAATGTCTAGGTATATTATTATCTAAACTATTTTAGAGCAAGCTCAAACCACTTCTCCAATCTCAGGAAAATGCTTGACCAGATGTTCATCTATGCTTAAGCAAGCAGAAGAGCTACTTCCTCAGCTCCCAGAAGTCTGTGACATGTGTTTTGAGATAGGGAGAGAGAACGTTTTCCCTCTCTAGCCTGGCGTTCCAAGAGCTTTCCTAATCCCAAACACAGTCCTCAAATAATCCTGAGGCTGGAGCCTGCATCATTCTGCCCCCTCAACATAGGCCCTGAGTCTTCACAATTTCCTTCTTTTTTCTTTTGTTTTAAAAGTAAAGCTTTCCACAGGGTTATTATAGAAGCTTGCATTGGTTTCATAAAAATCATATTGCAGCACAAGCGCAAACAGAATAATAACAATCATAATTTCCATACCACTAGCAGTATGTGAAATGCTTTGTAGTATTCCTTTCAGATCCAACCCTTCCAACTGTTTAATAAATGTATCAGCAATATTAGAAGCATCATCATTGGCAAATTGTTTACCAAAAATATCATGTACATTAAATTGTAACTGAGCAATCAATTGAGCAGCAGTAGAATTTCCAGATAAATACTGCTGTATTACATTCCAATCATGTAGAGATTCATTATATTTTACATTAGTAATGTAAAAGGTAGTAGAATTCCAATCACATTTTAACAATAACTGTTTTTCCACAACCAATAACTTTTTTCCTAACCATCCCATTGTCTGTTTAAGAACATTAATCTGTGTTTGTAATCGAGCATCAATTTCTACCTGTGAGAACCACAATTCATGTGAATCCCAGTGTCATTCTTCCACAAAGTGTTTAGTTTGTAAGGAAGTGTGCAGGGCAATTCCAGACACCACAGCAACAGTGGTAATAGCAATTAAGCTTAAAATCACAGCCACAATGGCTCCAATCATACGTTTTGTACGTTTTAGTAGTTTGGTAAAAAATTCAATAACAACACTATCCAAAGGATTTTGGGACCATTCTCTTCCTAATTTAACAGGTAGCCAAATATAAATTCTTTGTTGTAAAATCATAATACTATGACTGTCATTAAAATTAAGAGAGGAATTAACACAAGAATACAGGCGACAATTAAAAAAGAAATAGTAGGAGAAAATGTAAAGTTTCCCACCAAAAATACATAAGGCTGGGGTACACAAGCAGTTACATTATAAGATTTATACAAAGTAAAATTATAAGTGGACGCAAAACGTTTTCGTCCCCGAAAACGATCCATTTGATAGCATCACGGGTTTTAGCGCCGCTGTGACCTTCCAAAGATGAGTCTGAACAGCAGTGGGTGCAGTCATGAAAGCCCATCGAGCATCTGCAATGTCTCCATCTCCCCAGGCCATCAATCGAGCTCCAGTAAGCGATCCATTAATGGCATCTGGCATCCTAGTAACATTTGATAAATCACACCTGGTAATATTCCATTCTGAACATGTGTTAATAAACTGTCCAAAAGGTCCCCAATTAATAAAATTATTGAACATTTTTCCAAATGTTCCTCTACACTCTTGCCACACAAAAGGCTGATATTTTAAATCAATATAAGTAAAATCAGGGCACATAGGTAAGGATAACTCGCCATCAAAGGTGACACTTTCCCAGCTACTATTAATGGACCAAGTAGTTAATCGCTGTAGCTGTGTTTTAGAATTGGAAGTGCGTTTCCCAGGTAAAACCCAATGTTGCCAATTCATAACTAAACATGGAGGAGGCCCCAAACAAACAGGCAAGGAATGAGTATAGTAAGTAAAATTTAAAAAGGCTACCATCATCCTTATTATAAAATGTCAAATTATTCCAAGGAGGAGATAAAATAGCAGGAACAGTATAGACGGTTATATACATGTCTCCCAAAACAACAGGTTCCAATAAAGGAGGGTTAGGAACAAAGGCCCAATAACTTACATTAGCATTAGCATGGACAGAGTTTACAGGGCACACATGGCCAGGAACAAGTTCTCAGCCGTGACAGGTTTACCAGTGCGTTGTAACATCTTTTGTCCTTCTCCAGTCAACTTTTTAACCTGCCCCCAGGTGGGCAGTGGGGATTTCTTTTTCCTCAACTGGTGGCCAATTCCTTGCAGGATACGGGGCTGTCCTCACTGGGCCGCATCTGTATCCATCGTGCAGGAAGCCAGTATTGTCTGCCATCCTGTGTAGACACAAAACCATACCCTTGCCCCTTATGTAATAATGTTCCTGGTTGCCATTCTGCATCTAATGCAATCTTAATCCATACAGGAGCACTTAAATAAGGTTTTTCTGAAATTGTTCAAAATGGCGCTCAGCTCTAGTTAAAATATCTCCTTGTGGTAAGTTTAAAAAATTAAGAACAAAAAGAGCTTGATGTAAAATTATTTTAGGATTTTGCATGGAAAACCACAAAATATCCATATCTTCATCCAACCTTTTCCTCCTTTTTAATTTTTTAATTTGTTGTTTTATTGTGCCATGAACTCCTTCAATAATGGCTTGTCCTTGGGGGTTATATTCTATTCCTGTAATATGTACCACATCATAAAGTTCACAAAATCTTTTAAATCTGATACTTTTAGGCTGGTCCATTATCAGTCTTTATTTTGGCAGGCACTCCCATAATGGCAAAAGCTTCCAATAAGTGTTCTATTACATGGTTAACAGTTTTTCCCATAAGGGCAGAAGCCCAAACAAATTTAGAATAAGAATCTATTGTAACATATACAAAGGAAAAACGGCCAAAGGCTTGTACATGGGTTATATCCATTTTCCAGAGCTCCTTAGGTTGTAATCCTCGAGGATTTACTCCAGCAGGTACAACTCTCAAATGCATTGGTCTGCAGATAGGGCACCTTTTTATAATTTTTTAGCTTGAGAATAAGGTATTTTATAATGTATATGTAAATGGCCAGCATTTGTATGTAAATGAGCATGATCCTGTTCAGCAGAAGCAAAACTAAGTAATTTATCAACCTGATTATTTTCATATACAAGGTACCCAGGTAATGAAGAGTGAGCCCTAATGTGAGTTACAAACATTTTGGCATTACGTTGTTGTAGTAATGTTTGTAATTGTTTAAATAATTGGTTTAGCTGGGGTTTAGATGAATAAGTAACAGCAGTGATTATATTAGTCACAACTCCTACAGCATAGACAGAATTAGTAACAATATTATCTCCCACAAAAGCTTGTAACACTTTAGTAATAGCAAAAAGTTTATTTTGTTGAACTGATGCTAAAGTAGTTGTTTGTACCCAATATTTATTTGTTGTCCAATAAGCACTTTTTGTTTTGGAGCCATCTGTAAAATGGTAAGAGCAGTGAGAATAGGGGCCTTGGTAATTATATCATTAATAACAAATTGTTGTTTACGCAAGCAATCCCACAATCTACCTTTGGGAAAATGATAGGAAAATTGTCCAATAAAATTTACTAATGCTATTTGTAGCATTTTAAACATGTTTAACAAATATTTTACTTGGTCTTTTGGCAAAGGAAAAATAATTTCAAATAAATCATACCCAGACAGAGTAAATACCCATTGTCTGGCCTGTTGAATAATAATTGTCAACTGTTGTTTATAAGGCATAATATGTTTTGTAAATCTATGCCGAGTATAAATCCATTTTAATGGTAGCTCATTTTGTCCTAAAATTTCTGTTGGGTATTTTCATGTATCTAAAATATATAAATTTATGGGTTGATTTAGCATTACTCGATGTAAAAACATTTATTTTCTGTTCTACAAATTGTAATTCTCTTTTAGCTTTCTTAGTTAAAGTTTTTTTGCTTTGTAAATCAGGCTCCCCTTGTAACAAAGAAAACAAATTATGTAGCTGATAAGTAGGAATTCCTAAGGCCGGTTGCATCCAATTAATATCTCCTAATAGCTTTTGAAAATCATTTAACGTATGTAATTGATGATGTCGTAAAGACATTTTTTGAGGTGCTACTGTTTGTCTAGAAACAACATATCCTAAATATTTTACCACCATATCTTTTTGTATTTTTTAGGTGCTATTATTAATCCAAAATTTTTGTATAGAGGGTAAGCACTGTAACACCATTTTTAATTCTGTCATATTTGGTCCTACAAATAAAATATCATCCATATAATGAGAAATATAAATGTGAGGCCATTTTTGTCTAACAGGTTTTAAGGCCTTATCAACATATATCTGACACATAGTTGGAGAGTTCATCATTCCTTGGGGCAACACCTTCCATTGGAAGCGCTGATGAAGGGCTTGATAATTTATTTGTGGTAAAGACAAGGCAACTCTTTTACAATCTTTTACATGTACAGGAATGGTAAAAAAGCAATCTTGTAAATCTATTACTATTATTGGCCAATTTTTAGGAAGCATGGCAGGCGACGGTATACCAGGTTGTAAAGCCCCCATAGGGTACATGGATGCATTAACTCCTCGTAAACCAGTCAGCAATCTCCATTTCCCTGACTTCTTTTTAATAACAAATATTGGAGAATTCCAAGGTGACATAGGCGGCTCAATATGTCCTTTGGTTAACTGTTCTTCAACTAATTGATGAGCTGCTTCTAATTTTTCTTTAGATAAAGGCCATTGTTTAGTCCAAAGAGGTTCCTCAGATTTCCATAATATCTTTATGGGCTCCATCTAAAAATGTTAAAACTGAATATGAGCTCCCCATTGTTCCAATACATCTCTACCAATTATGTTAACTGGAACTTCCATAATATAAGGTTTAAGGACAGCTGTCTGTCCGTCTTCTGAGGTTATAGTAACATAAGACACTGCTTGTCCTATAGAATTTACAGGAGTATTACTAACTCCTTTAATATTAC